GTTTGCACAACCAAAAAATTTATGTGCAAACCATCAGAAGATCTGCACATCTGCATGCTTGTCATCCGCACGAGGATCTTGATTTGACAACAGTTTGCTGTCATAACCAACTTGAGTTGGCAACAGCTCATGATGGTGTCTGGCACTTTGAGGAAATAGTCTTTTCACAGATGAATCCTGGTTGACATTGTACCAGGCAAACAACAGCCTGTTCCGATTCCTGTCAATATTCAGCAACTTCACACAGCCATCAAAGTGGATAGGATCAACATTCCACAAGCCACAATCAACAACTTGATCAACTCTATGTGAAGGACTGTCACACTGCATGAGGCAGATGATGGTCACACCAGATACTGACTGATTCCTTGGTATCTGTGACCAAAAACAGAATTTCTGTAGCTCTAGTCATTTGAAACCCTATTAAATGTCTTTTTTCAAGATCAAACTGCACATTTTAGAATGGCTTTTTATTATGACCATCCCAAGGCACACCTGTGTAGTAATGATGCTGTTTAATTAGCTGCTTGATATACCACACCTGTCAGGTGGAGGGATTATCTTGAAAAAGAAGAAGTGCTCACTAACATGGATTTTAACAAATTTGCAACCAAAATTTGTGAGAAATATATCTATTGAGTGCATGAAAAAAGTCTTGGATCTTCAACTTTAACCTGTGAAAAATGAGAGCAAAAGCAAAAGTGTTTAAGTGTGTTTGTTCAGTATATGTGACTCACCAGCTTAACTCACTGTATGTACATACCCTGGCCTATGTCCTGTCAAATCCTTCCACCAGGTATATCACATACCTCGTGTACATGTTGCCTCCATCTAGCTCTTGCTATGTAAGACATTTCATTTATCTTTTCATTCTTGTCTGTTACCATGTATTACCTCTACCTTTATCTCCACCCAGGATCCCTGACTGAAATCTCTCCTCTGGCATTTTTATGTTATGTAGCAGAATGGAACTTAACTTGGCAGTATTTAAGCAGTATTTGGGAGTATTTGAGTAAGGAATGCCTTTTTACAGTTCCCTCAGGCAACAGTGGATGAACTCTGTTTTATAGTCTTATAAAATTATCTTTACTGTGAAGAATCAATAACAGAGCCTGTAAAATTTGTCACGGTTTGTTTTTATTTGAATCAGAGTCTTTCATAAAAATTCTAGTGGTGCTGGTTGTGTCTGCTTACCTGTAATAAACTTTAGTTTAATGTCTCCGCTATGAAGGCACACACACACACACACACACACACACACACAGTGGGACCAAATGCAGGCCCTCACTGACTACATTATTATATCCTGACCTTTACTCAGACACTGCCCTCAATTTATGACTAATTTTAAACTTAACCCAGAAGCAGACATTTAACCTCCCCTTTCCATCAGGTCAAATTGAGTGAGTTGGACAATAGGTGACCTTTGACCTTTGCCCTCAGTTGCCTTTAGGTTCAGCCTAGAGAGACTCTGAGGACAGGTATGTGGTGTGTTTTGACCTCTGACCTCGTTGAAACAAACAATTGCCATTTAAGAAGAAGGTGAAACATGACACCTGGCAACACACACACACACACACACACACACACACACACACACACACACACACACACACACACACAAAACAAAACATACCGAGATATCTAGACTGATTAAACTGTGAACACACAAACACACATGTACAAACTAAGTGTGGAGTTTATCTACATGGGAGCAGTTATGTTCTCAGCTGATTCTGTGGCCAGTGTGCCTGTTTGTTTTAGATTAGCCATTGTTTGGCTCATGAGTATAGTGCCACAAGCACTTCTGTGACATAATGACTGTGCTTCATACAGGATTTTGTGTGTTTTCATGATAAAGTAATAGAAGTAGTAAAAGAGGAGAAAGAAGTTCTGAAATACAGTGGTGTGAAAAAGTGTTTGCCCCCTTCCTGATTTCTTATTTTTGCATGTTTTCCGCACTTAAATGTTTCAGATCAAACAAATTTAAACATTAGTCAAAGATAACACAAGTAAACACAAAATGCAGTTTTTAAATAAAGGGTTTTATTAATGAGGAAGAAAAAAATCCAAAGCTACATGGCCCTGTATGAAAAAGTGTTTGCCCCCTAAACCTAATAACTGGTTGGGCCACCCTTAGCAGCAACTACTGCAATCAAGCGTTTGCGATAACTTGCAATGAGTCTTTTACAACGCTGTGGAGGAATTTTGGCCCACTCATCTTTGCAGAATTGCTGTAATTCAGTCACATTGGAGGGTTTTCGAGCATGAACCGCCTTTTTAAAGGTCATGCCACAGCATCTCAATAGGATTCAGGTCAGGACTTTGACTAGGCCACTCCAAAGTCTTCATTTTGTTTTTCTTCAGCCATTCAGAGGTGGACTTGCTGTTGTGTTTTGGATCATTGTCCTGCTGTAGAACCCAAGTTCGCCTCAGCTTGAGGTCACGAACAGATGGCCGGACATTCTCCTTCAGGATTTTTTTGATAGACAGCAGAATTCATGCTTCCATTTATCACAGCAAGTCTTCCAGGTCCTGAAGCAGCAAAACAGCCCCAGACCATCACACTGCCACCACCATATTTTACTGTTGGTATGATGTTCTTTTTCTGAAATGCAGTGTTACTTTTACGCCAGATGTAATGGGACGCAGACCTTTCAAAATGTTCAACTTTTGTCTCGTCAGTCCACAGAATATTTTCCCAAAAGTCTTGGGGATCATCAAGATGTTTTCTGGCAAAAATGAGACGAGCCTTAATGTTCTTTTTGCTTAGCAGTGGTTTTCGTCTTGGAACTCTGCCATGCAGGCCATTTTTGCCCAGTCTCTTTCTTATGGTGGAGTCATGAACACTGACCTTAACTAAGGCAAGTGATGCCTGCAGTTCTGTAGATGTTGTTGTGGGGTCTTTTGTCACCTCTTGGATGAGTCGTTGCTGCGCTCTTGGGGTAATTTTGGTCGGCCGGCCACTCCTGGGAAAGTTCACCAGTGTTTTTGCCATTTGTGGATAATGGCTCTCACTGTGGTTCGCTGGAGTCCCAAAGCTTTAGAAATGGCTTTATAACCTTTTCCAGACTGATAGATTTCAATTACTTTTTTTCTCATTTGTTCCTGAATTTCTTTGGATCTCGGCATGATGTCTGTAGCTTTTGAGGATCTTTTGGTCTACTTCACTTTATCAGGTAGGTCCTATTTAAGTGATTTCTAGATTGGGAACAGGTGTGCAGTAATCAGGCCTGGGTGTGGCTACAGAAATTGAACTCAGGTGTGATCAACCACAGTTATGTTTTAACAGGAGCTGGGGGGCAAACACTTTTTCACACAGGGCCATGTAGCTTGACTGTTATATTTTATGATCTGAGTTATCTGCATATTTTAATCACTTAATATTTTCTACAATATATTTACTACATATATTTAACCATCTTTATTTTTTGCAAGTCACACCCAAGTCTCAAGTTGAGACTTACTATCAATCAAGTGACTCAAGCCCAGAGTCAACCCCAAGTGTAAAAGTGAAACTATGTAACTTACATACAAAAAGTACATGACAACATCTCTTAAAGACAAAAAATAGATTTCTAGGCAATGAAAATAGGTATGACCACTTTCCACTTAATCTCTGAACAAACTGAACAAAAATTTAAAACACAAGTTGTGTTGTTTGAAGGCAAAATTTGCTTTTGTTGCATAATTGAAATGTTTTGGCACGGTTAGAGCCTTTTGCAAACAAAATGTGTCATTTTGACCATGAGTGCCACTGTCTGTGTGTGTGTCTGTGTGTCTGTGTGTGTGTCTGTGTGTCTGTGTGAAGCTACCTGGACTAAACAGATCAAATAGGTGAAGAAAAAAGATCATGTTTTGGTTTAAAATAAGTACGTTTGTCACGTAACAACAACAACACATGACATGACATAAATACATCAGGTGAATGATGTCAGTGGACAGTATGAAAATTATATGACGCTATATTAACACAACATTGACTTTTGTTTTCGCAATGGACACGAATTGCAGTATCCTGGGTAAAAGTCATGTTCTGTTTGACCCATCTACCTTCGCCATAGTCTCGCTCACCAGACCTTTCTCAAGAAAAGAAAGGTCTGGCTGGGCCAACTCTCACTTTAAGATTGGAGAAAAAAACGCCCCGGCTTTTTTTATTTCTTTTAACCAATCACAATTGTTCTTGGCGGTGCCACAGCAACGGTGCGCTTGCAAAAATATTGCCAGGGGAAAACAGATTTTGGTGTAACACGCCCACAAAAATATTGCCTACAGGACGCGAACCATGGCAGAAAAATGGCTACATCCCCGCAAGATCAAACACCGCAAAAGTTAGTAAAGGACGTGTTGAAAACTGCTACACAACCGGAGGTGGTAGGGCGGGACTTCAGTGGGTGGCTCGTTCCGCCCAATGAGAGGCTGATCTATGCAGCAAACTTCCGCCCACTCAGACTACCTTCGCCAAGACTATATCTCCTTGGTGAAAAAACTGTAGTGCCAAATTTAGATAAATTTATATTTAGAATATTGAAAACCGCCCAGATAGCACACATACATCTGGCCGACGTCAGCCCGATATATCAAGTTTAGATCGTTAAGATGTAGCAGGGAGAACGTTTGCGCATTGCCAAGACGTCGCTGAGATGTCAGCCTTTAATCAAAAATGAACACCACACGACGTTCAAACGATCAATAAAAGAAGCTGCCCTGAGTGGGCGCTCCTTCATTAATATTCATATGCTTTGTTAACTATGACCTTTATTCATTTAGGTCGGACCTTTCAAACTACAAAGATTTCACCATTCAATGTGAGAAATCAATGCTAGCATTCAAAAATAGCTGAATGTTACCCTATTTCGTGTGTAAGTGTGCACAATGAAGAGACAAAAGTCAATTTTTTTTTTTTTAAAGATATTTTTTAGGGCATTTTTTTGCCTTTAATGGACAGGACAGTTAAGTGTGAAAGGGGGAGAGAGAGAGGGAGTGACATGCAGCAAAGGGCCACAGGCTGGAGTCGAACCTGGGCCGCTGCGGCAACAGCCTTGTACATGGGGCGCCTGCTCTACCACTAAGCCACCGACGCCCCTACAAAAGTCATTTTGACAAAAATTTTTTCAAAGTCCACGAAAAATATCTGATGGCCAGTCCGCTCCTCCTGGCAGCCTGCAAGAGACAGAAAAGACGATGAGCACGTAACTTCAAGAAATAAATCCCAACTTCACCACTGTATTTTTTTTAGCATTTCAGCTGTCTTTTAGCCAGATTGAAGGCTTTGGGTCCGTCACTCTGCTTAATTTAGTGTTGAAACTGTTAAATAACGGGATCCGGCGTTAACTCTGTTAACTGTTAACAGCAGCTCAACAATCAGTCCTTCATCTCAGAAAAGCAGTGGTTTCAAAACTGCACTATAACCTGTAGCCACCGGGGCGGTTTGCTTTGCAGAGGAGGAGACCTCGACTGATAAATTGTCCATAAAATCACATTAACAACATACCGAATGCATCCTTAAACTTCACTATTTCACCTCCATGCTCCTCTCTGCTCCTCTCACCCACACTTGAGCACCCAGTCTGGGATACACAGTGTCGGCCCGCCCCGCCTTACCTCCATGCTCCTCTCCGCTCCTCTCACCAACACTTGAGCACCCGTCCACGGCCCTGGAGGTCAGGCCGGGGGGCCGCGGGACCACGGGTGGCAGCTCCAGGCTCTTCCACTTTAACCCAAAACAAGTGCTCACGATAACCAGATGAGCAGATAACGTCAACTAGGGAAAATAAAATGAAAACACCACAGTTGTAGCCTGTTAGCTAATATGAGCTAAACCACTAAACTAGCTATCAGCTAACGAAAGATAACGTTAGCTGGTGGGGACATGTGCTATATACACCCAGTCATGCCTCGCCACTCACCAGGAACCTCTTTTAACGGTCACAGAAGAAACAACATAGCTATTTTCTGCCAATTTATTCCAATTAGCAAACAAACACCGCGGAGATGAAATTCCACCTCTGTGGCGACTTCCGTATGTGGGCAGATATTCTACAGGACTGGGCCGACCCAAAGCCGACGTAACAGAGACGTTTGATGAGCTGGGACAAAAGAGTATTAAAGATATCTGCCCATGCGGCCGGCGCTTGTCAAACGTTATCAATTCAGGGCCGATGTGTTATCCTCAGGCCGACGTCGGCCAGATGTATGTGTGCTATCTGGGCAGCCTTCTAACCTGTGCTCTGATGATTCTAAGGTGTTGGAAGGAGCCTCAAACTCTTAGACTGCATATGTGGATAGATCAAATGATGGAAACTACTGCGTGTGAAAAGATACTGGGAAGATTGAAAATGGAAAATGATATGGTTAAAGAACAATGGGATAGTTTCAGCACATATATGTCTGAAGGGAACAATTTGATCATGTTAAGGCACTGAAGATGTAATATAGTACCACCACAACTGATTAGCCTTTCCTGTATTATTAATGTCTGTCAATATTTGCCAGACTTCTTGCCTGTTTGTTTGTTTATTGTTGTGTTACTTTGGTCTTTCCTCCTGAGGTTGCTGTTGCTCAGAATTGCTACATCTATCACCACTGCCTTCTTCTGTTGTTTGTCGATCAACACGATGTCCGGTTGGTTAGCCATCACCAGTTTGTCAGTCTGGATCTGGAAGTCCAACACGATCGTAGCTTGGTCATTCTCAACCACCTTAGGAGGTGTCTTCCATTGTGACCTTGGGACTTCCAGCCCATATTCAGTGCAGATGTTCCTGTGCATTATGCCAGACACTTGGTTATTTCTCTTTCTTGACTTCTGCAATAGTTTACTCTTATTCTTATTTCCTCTTAATATGTTAATTATATGCACCAGCTGAGGAAAATGTCCAGATTTAGTGTCATATTTGATTTGTTTGCATTACAATATGCAATATTGTAATGCGTATGTATATGACAAATTTATTTCTGTCACAGTGTGCACTTCCACCTGTCCTACATGCTATTCTCTCAGATGACCCAGTTAATTTCCACTCACCCAGCCTCTCCATCACACCTACCCACCAGCCTATCTCCTGTCCACACAACTCCCACTCCTGCCGGCCAACCACACCCACCTCATCAAGCCATCTCAGCTCACCTGTGCCTCATTTCTCCTTGCCACTATAATACCTCAGCCTCACAGACTCTCGTGGCCAGATTGTTTCTTTGTTATTCCATGCAAGACTTTCCAGCATGTTCCCAGACTGCTTTCTCCTTGCCAACCTCGCCTGTCTCTGACTCTCCTGCTTTGCCTGCTCCCTAGTAAACCACTCAGCCTTCTGTCCCCAACCAAGAGCTCTGCTTCCACCTTCCTAGTTTCTGTCCACCTGTTCCCCTTGGCTGTGTGGAGAGATTACCAGTCAACTCTATGTTGTGCATTTACCTGTTCTGTTGCCTGGGATTTCCTCTGTTGTGGATTGTCTTGTTGCATGGCCGCACATTCTGCCTTTGCGTGCGCAATACAAGATCCACTCATCATCACCACTGGTTCCTCGACTCCTTGCCGGTTCTTACCTATCGCTTGCTCCTCACAGGTGGGTTGGCTTCCCATGTGTGTTCATGCGGTATTGAACCCTCTGCTTATCTGAAATCACCTTCTATCTGCTCCCTTGTGGTACCGCTGCACACATTTGAACTTTTTGCTGTTTGTGTGCATCCAGCATACTCCACTGACTCACCTGCTCTCTGATTCAGCATGTCATACCTAATGCTTGGGACTAAACCTGTGTCTTGGAAGGCTCCAAGCCACAAAATTGACCACTCATCTGTGTTTTGACAAACGGTACATTGAAGGTCATTACACACTATCTTGACCACTTTTGGTGCTGCATTTGGGTTCCTACCACACCCAAGGTCTGTCTACATCTTATACAGTCAGTTTTCTTATATATCTTTTTTTTGGCTGAATATATATAGATATAAATGAAATATTTTTCATCCACTTTTGGGTGGTGGACCTGTCTTGTGCCGTGTCTCAATATTTCTATTTTGAGACCCTAATTGTGTTCACACAGGCCAAGGAGGAGGTTATCAAAACACTGTACAAGTACACTTGTGTATTTTTCACTACCACTGTACTGTCATTGGACAGAAGTTATCGGCTTGCTTAGTTGGATTAATTCTGTAATCATTTCATACCACAAATAATAGCACAAATCCTAATGTTACCTTGTCAGCTAGCTAGCAGTGGCACATATTATTATTGAGCATTGACGTTACATGTATTGGAGGGTAAGCTTTACGGTCTATGAGCATAAGTTATGTATGGAGTTTATGCATGTTAAATTGTTGTCTTCACTTCTGAAGATTTAGTATTAGATTTGTAATCAGATGCTTGACAAGTTGTAAATACTTGCAAAATGCCACAGCTATTATTAACTCAGATCAGCTGGTGAATGAACCAGTCAGTGTCAGCCACGGACAGTAATAGATGGAAGCATGTTGTGAAAGCACATTCAAATAAACACAGAAGATGTCACATGAGCAAAGAAGCTGATATATGTATTTACGTATACTGACCAAAGTATCTAATTTGAGACATAGCATTGGACTTACATGGTAGGATTTGATCCAAAACAAGTACCCTATGGAACAGTGAGAAAACACTGTACACCAAATAGACTATTTTTACTTTTTCACTTTGGATCTAACCTTATATTTAGTACAGAACCATTATGACAATGGAAATCACCCCATCCTGGCACTTAAACACTCTTTATTTGATGATGGATTCTTAACAATTAAAGGAAGAACATCTGTATTTACTTCACTATCATGAAGGGCATGAAGTCATGTTTTTCTTAGTGTACCCATGCACACTTAATCCCACACCAACAGTGGTGTTTCTGTAGCTTGAACTGAGAAAAAATCCAGTCAAGCCATATATATACACACACACACACACTTGCAGTTGAGAATTTCCTGAGGGATTACTGTGTGGCAAATGAAGTCAGGCATTCAGGGTGGTGATACCATTTAACTAAAGTCAGCCCCAGTTGTTTGAGTTGTGGAAAGCACATTGCAATGATCTTTAAATGGACTATTAAGTACACTTACTAAGGGTCACGTAGAGTTTGATCATTAAACTAAATACTGCATACTACTGCCTACATAGTGCACTGTTTAATGATAGGTTCCCAGTGCCTGTTGAGCGGCTGCCCCAAACTGATGCAAGAACATCTCCCTGGGTGGCCTCCAGGAACCCCTTGAGGGTGAAATGATAATTGGTTCTACAATTCCACACTTAAAAAAGAAAAGCAGTTCATGAGATTATGATAAAATCCAGCTGAAGTCAACCTTGTAATTATTTATTATAAACATACATTGTTTTCTTCCAAGTTTTACTTTGGGTATCATTTAATGTAGTTGGGTCTATAGATAATGTATAAAGATTTGTGATAATACTTTGTGGATGATATGTGTAGGAAAATATAAATTTGTCTTTCACGGTTTTCATCTCATGGTCTTTATTCAGTGAATTAACAGACTTAATGAAGTCTTCAGTGAAGACCATGACATGTCAACACAGTCTCAGAAATATGTGAAATAAAAAGGACCTCTTAAACAAAACAACACAATATGTGGTGGTGGGCACAAATTTGTTAAAGTTACATGCCGGCAACACAAAAACAATGCCAATGCAAAGTCAGTCATAAATGGTTGCAGTTTGGTTGTGAAAAGGGTGCAAGTTTGGTTATGTCTAATATGTCTTATATGGGAAACAAAAGTCTATAAGGCCCAGGCACACCAAAGTGACTCCAGAGAACTAGCAGTAATGAAGCCCCCCTGCTGTGTTGCCTGATGTCGCCATGTCCCAGCAAACAAGCTGTACATGAACACACTGCAAAAACTACAGCTTCACACCAGCAGATGGCAGTAGTCTGTAATCATCATTCATAAAGGGAATCCAGAAGACCGTCTTGAGACTAGTTAGCCAGTTAGCACATCAACAACACAATCCAGGATTGAAAGAACAGAGGATATTTACTGTGCACCAGTGAACAATAAAATAAACCATCATGAATGTTTCTGCTAAAGGGTTCAATGGCTGAAGAAAAATAATCTTACCTTATGTAACAAGTTTGTTTTGGTATCACTCCCTCTGGACTTTAGCTCTTTGTTTACTTTTCTCATTTCCGTTTCCCTTCTTGCATGCTGGGCTGAACTTCCAATCAGAATGTTTTCAAAATGCACACACAACAGCACAAATTAGCGCCCCATGAATTATATTACATCCTTAACATAACGTTACGTAATGTTTCCTGGTGGAGGTGAGGTTTAAGTAAGTGAAGTGATTATGGTTAGGTTTAGCAAAAGAAACATGAGGACGTACCTTAAAAGGACTCAAAGTTCAGTTAAATTTTGACACAGTTCTGAACACTGGTTTCTCAACAAAGTACTAGGTGTAGTCCCAACATGCTGCCGAATTGGACCACTCGGGACCACTTTTCTCTTTACTCATGTCAGTGCATTTGTGACGTAATTGCAGCCTTCCATATACATGAATTACACATGAATTACTCGTTCATCGTAACGTGGGAAATGTACAAATTTTGGTGCATTACTTTGGTACTAACAGTGCATGTGAACAGCCTATTCTATGAGACCAGGCTGGACATGCAGCTGAAGGCCTTAAAAGCTAATAAGTGGACCTCTGAGATTTCGGGGGTTTTTTGTTTTGTTTTTGTTACATACACTTCACATCAAGACTCCAGTGCCTTAATTGAAATACTTAACATAAAAGATATTCATTGGATAGCCAACAATTTGCAGTGCAGCATTTACAGTACCTTTGTGATTGATGAATGGTGTCTTTTACAAACCTATAATTAAGTTCTTAAAGGCACTTCATTGATGTTCCACAAAGTTCTTTGAAGTACCTCAGAGACACAAAGTTTAAAATGAACATTTGCAAGACCATTCCATCATTTTTAGACAGTCAGATGAGACATTTTTCAATTACAACTGTAAAATTGCAGGTATAAACACA